GCCGTTTGGATTAAAAAATGCACCATCTGAATTCCAAAATATCATGAACGAACTTTTTAATCATTATACCAAATTTATGATTGTCTATATTGATGATGTACTTGTTTTCTCTGAATCAATTGATCAACATTGGAAACATTTAAGTACATTCATAAAAGCCATAAAAAATGCTTTAGTAGTTTCAACAAGAAAAATAAATCTATGCCAGCCAAAAATAAGATTTTTAGGACATAATATTTTCTAGGGAAGAATTATTCCCATTGAAAGAGCAATAGAATTTGCATCCAAATTTCCAGATATAATTACATGAAAAACTGAATTACAAAGATTCCTTAGTTGTTTAAATTATATTTCGGATTTTTATAAAGATTTGGCTTTAGATGCAAAGCCTTTATTCCAAAGATTAGAAAAGAATCCTCCAGAATGGACTGAAGAACATACCAAGACAGTAAGAAAAATTAAAACCACAGCTAAGGAATTACTATGCCTAGCTCTGTCAAATCCTACAACATTGAAAATAGTATAAACAAATGCCTCAGAACTAGGACTTGGTGCTGTGTTAAAACAAAAGATGAATAATCAAGAGCAATTGGTCCGATTTACTTCTAAAACCTAAAACCCAGCTCAACAAAATTATTCAAAAGTAAAAAAAAAAATACTCTCAATTGTTGATGCTATTACAAAATTTTAAAGTGATCTACTTAATCAATTATTCTCATAAGAACTGACTGTAAAGTAGCCAAGGATATCTTTTAGAAAGATGTCAAAAATCTCGTGTCAAAGCAAATTTTTGCAAGATGGCAAGGTATGCTTTCTGCTTTTGAATTTACTATTGAGCATATTAATGGTAATACCAATTATTTACCTGACTTCGTGACTCGAGAATTTTTACAGGGAGAGCAGAAGGAGCCAGCAGAACTAAATGAGGGAAATAGTTTCTAGTCCAGGATCATCCCTAACATCTCCATCAACACCAAATTCTTTAATACGGAGGCAAATACAAGATATTGATATATCTCCCCTCCAAATGCCAATAAGCACTCAAACTCTTAGTGCAAAATCTATATACTTAGAGACAACATATATTTCTTTGCTGATAATAGAAAATGAGCATCAGTCAAAAACTCCGACTGAAATAGCTGCTTTATTCCTTAGGCAGTATATGCATCCTAATATGGGAGAAAGATGCAGAGAATGGTACGAATGTATCATGATAAAAACAGGATCAGTCTTTACAGTTCATCGTTTTAGAAATAACGATAATGAAATAGCATATTCAAAATTCCAAATAAAAAAAGTCATTACTTACAAAGAATGGCGACCGGATCCTTTAAAGACAAGGATCATGAATACGAAAGGATTTAAAATCAAATCCTACCACCATTACTATGAATACATAAAGGCTTGGGATGAAGTCTTATCATACCAGAATACAAAAAATTCCCATTGCTAGTATCTTTATTTCAATAACTGAGCCAAATAATTTTTCAAATTGGTTTAAAAATTGGTTTTTTATATGGGGATCCAAAAACCAGATACTACCAAAAGAACTACAAATTTCACAGAGAAAATTATTTGAGTATAATAGAAAAAGTTTAAAAAGAGACTACCACATATATTTTATGGCCTTATATCAGGTCTCATGGATTTTAAAATGGGAGGATCACATCTCAACAGATGATATGGATAGATGTGATTATATCCCTAA